AAATTCTCACTTGAATTAGTGGTCTGCACCCTTAGGCCTATAAACTGGTACTAGTAACTTCATGATATATGGTGTTAAACCTTTGTGGACAATTTTAGTGTCATGAATTTTTGAAATTTTACTGGAAATCCAAACAGTGGAGTCCGGAATTTAGGCTCGAATTCAGCTGAGCGTTCCCTAACGTGCCACACTTGAAAAAAACTCACCAAAAAATCCCACATACACAGTAACAAGTTCATTTGAAGTCGGTAAATTCTTGTAAAGCATCTTTCTTGCTACTCAATATCTAACAACATATTTCTCGGGAAATTCTTTTCCTAATTTTGGGCACATTTTAAAAGAGTTCACTTCGCAAGTCGCGCCACGTTAGGGTACATCAACAATAGGCAAGCCTTTTGAACGACCGTAACGTGCATGGCGTCATCAGCAGCACAACACACTCTAAAGATTTAGAAGTGATCTGATGAGATTTGAGAGACTCTAACACCTGCCACTGTGTAAAAGAAACAACAAATCCAGTTCAGATTCTCGCTAGACAACGAATATTTTGTTCACTATGTAAATGGACCGCCATATTTCCTCTCTCTGCTGTCCTTGTAAAAACAAGCTGGCAGCCGATCAGGCTGCTGAGCAGGCCCAAATTTGTCGCTCAAATTTCCACCCTCAGATTTCATATAATGTTATGCGTTGAATGTGATATGCGGGAGCCTAATGAATATTATAAATAATATTTACAATATTAATATTTATTCACTTAATTATGAAATATTCATTAGAAAATTTGCATTTTTAACTTTTTGAGGACTAGTTATGGCATACGTGCTTCCATTGTTGGAAACAAAATTTATTGGCTTGGGTATGCATCAGTGCCCATGGACAGATGGTGAACGGTCTACTGCAGTTGAACCACGTTAATAAGAGTAGCTTGTATATAGCAGAAACCTTGTATTATCGGGAATGATAATAACCAAAAACAAGGGATTGAGACTTTAAACTGTCCTTGTTTCAGGAGAACCTTGCATTGACAGGGCTCTCATATTATGGAGGTTCGATTTTGTTTCCAAAATCTGAAGCTAGAGCTCTTCTCTCCATATACAGATCTGGTGTAGGCGGTTTGTGCACTTTAAACTATTTAGGAACTTTGTAGAAATAAGCATGCCATAGTACAGGGTCCATTGGAGGGTTGCTGACAGTTAAAAGAGGACTCATTCCCGAGCCTTAATTACTGTCGTAGAGAGGTAGACATCAGTGTGGTTTGTCGTGATATCATTGATTTTTGGTTTTCCATCTTGAAACTCTGAAAAGAAGCACAGAGATGCACACAGGCAATGGGATCTCCCCAATCAATCATTTTGTTAGAAGTGTCAGTATTGTTTGCCCATTGGGTATACAGTGACTATTGAAACGAACACAGAAAGTGAACCTTGGCCTAGTGAACATGTTTTGTGTGTTGATGTGCGTGATATTGTGGCACGAAAAACCACTGAAAGGCCATGAATCTCAAGTATTATTAAAGTTTTTGGCCATCAACATGATCAGTATCAGGCCACTTCAAAGATTAGCAAAGAACCTCTAACCTGATTCATTCACTGCTTACACTTTGATCCTGCAAAAAGGCTTTGAATTTACACATTTTAGCTGACTCATTTTGTTTTCGAAACAGGGAGCTTTTTATGGAGCAAGGGCGAGACTGCCAAAGAAGCGAGGCGTTTCGGCCTCGGCGCCTTTCGAAAAATGGGAGTCGGCAAGAAAAGCCTGGAGCACAGAATCAACGAAGAGGCTCGATACCTAGTCGAAAGTATCGGGGCTGAAAAGAATCGATCCTTTGATCCGAGCCTCACCATCCAGAACGCCGTGTCCAACATCATCTGCTCTATAAGTTTTGGGTCCCGCTTCGATTACGACGACCCAAAATTCAAGACGTTGCTGGGGAATTTTCGGGTTGTTTTCCAGAACTTAGGAGTTAGATCATTGGGAAACTTATGCCCCCTTCTCTACCACACCCCACTTTTCGCAAAAGTGAGAGAATCTGCCAAGTTTAACAGAGAATCTATCGCAACAATAGTTCAGGTAGGCACTTGTCTCATGTCAACCTAACAACCGTTTCCTTTTTTTGAGGGGGAGGGGAGCCATATCATGTTAGCCTTCCTGATGAGTGAGACTCACTTTTAAGGCATAGTGGTTTTTAAAGCAGCGCCGTGTCCAGGATTTGTTGGGGGAAGCTCAGCCTTAATGTCCCCCAAACAGCACACGGTGCTCAAGCCCCCTTAGTCCCCCCGGACTGGATGAACGGCTAGATCAAAGTGAGAAGTTTAACATGCTCAAAATTGAGATGTATATTGTTTCTTCTTTGGAAAAAAAATCAAGGAAACTAAAACAACGCCCTCAAACCCACCTCTTGTGTAAGGCTCAACTTCCCCTTGGGCCTCCTTGGGTACACCATTTTCGGGAAGAATGCGAAAATTTATACTGTTATCCCTCTTAAATCTGCCATTGGATCCCTCTGCGGTGGGTGATCAGAACTCCCTGACGTCAACCTTCGAAACTAACTTTGGAAAATGAACTTTGAGAAATATCCCTTCAACTCAATCCAGGAACATCAAGATTCCTTTGACGAGAACGATTTCCGGGATATCACCGACATGCGCATTGCGGACATCAAAGAGAAAGAGCGGACTGGGCTTGCTCCGACCATCACCCACCAACACATCTGGCGGGGTATCCTAGACATGTTCGCCGCTGGCACGAACACAACGTCCCATACCTTGTTGTGGCTAATATCCTTCGTGATCAAATACCCCGAAGTGCAAGATAAGGTATTTAAAGTGCAGAGACAACATTTGTGCAGATACTTACAAAGTAATTTCATCTTCAAGCAAACTTGAATTCTCAATTCTGATTGGTCCATCCATGGCAACAAACAGTGTAATACTGGTATACAACTGTGCTGCGTGGTTCATATCAAAGCCAACGCTTCTGCAATATTTTCACGCTAAATGCAAAACACACGTGCAACATTAATTTTGTAGTAAATTTAAAGGTAGTGCATTTACGCGCACATCGTTACTGCGAGTCAAGTTTACTTGAAGATAAATTCGTTATCACGCTGACTCTCGTGGAACACGGAAAAATGTAGTGCGTCTATGTCCCGTATACCACGAGGCCCTTTTCCGTGTTCCACACGCCCTCTTGTGATAACTAAATGATATTGGTTATCAAGCAAGTGCAAGCGACCAGGGATCGACCAATCAGAATTGAAAATTCATAATTGCTTGAAGCCAAATGCATTCATTCTTCATTTTTGTCATATCTTTTATCATTACTTGTGGTCAGTGATGTCATAATGTAGGACTGCAAATGTCAAAATGATTCAATGATTCATAATAAACCTCAAGTTCTTTGCAATGCAGAATTAATTTGCAAAATTTCTAATAATCTAAACGATCAGTTTATTAATATTATACTAAGAAGACTTCATCTCAGTATTGTTGCTATAAAGTCTTGTAATTCTGCTGTGTACTATTTGGCAAAACATACCCGTATGGCTGAATTCCAACTTTGGTCTCTAGTTCTACATGGGGAAGTGCTTTGGTGACTGCTCCCTAAAGCATAAACTCGTAATGACATTCCTCGTTGCCAATCAATCAACTGTAACATGCAGATCCAGCGAGAGATCAGTGAAGTGGTGGGAAGCGATCGTCAGCCATCTTGCGAAGACCGTCCCAGCATGCCCTACACCAACGCGGTCATCAATGAAGTCCAGCGCCTACGTCCTGTGGCACCCTTTGCTTTGCCGTACGCGACAACACAAGAGTCTCAGCTGAAAGGATACACTATTCCAAAGGGAAGCAGTAAGATTGATACCCCATTTTCGCTCTCTTTTTCGTACATTGTAATTAAAATTGCACCTGATTGCACCCTGACAGAGCTCCAGTCTTTAAACCACAATGTAAATCTAATCTTGAATGTATGTATTAATAATGTCATTGCAGGTCGCTTTCAGGGACTTTCTAAAATCTTTATTGAATAGGGGTGATCATAAATCTGTGGGCGATGATGAACGACCCCAAGGTTTGGGATCGACCAGAGGAGTTTAATCCTGGACGTTTCCTGAGCGAAGACGGCAAGAAAATGATCCAGCACGAAGCCTTTGTGCCATTTTCAACAGGTACGCTCGAAAAAAAAATTATTGTTCCCTCCAAATATTTGTTAGTTTTATTTGGACTGCTGTCGGCAAATTCACCCAGGCCATAATAGGCCTATGCTGTGAAGCCATTTTACGGTTGTGAAACAAATCTCTGTTAGCTTCAGTTGGCCATGCATATTCAAAACCATGCAGTTACATTTGAAAAGAAGAGGTGGCACAACCTCGTTTCCATGGGTACGATCTTGCCGCGTCATGTTGGTTCCTACCATGCTTTGTGCGATCTAACCGATGGTATGGTATACAATTTACTTTAAATTTGCCCACTATTTGGGATATTTGAGCGTTTTCGAAACAAGTGGATTCAAAAAATCTAAACATTTTCTTTGCACAAAAAGGTTGGAGATAGCAGTACAAAAGAGTAAAAAGGGAGCGTCTTGTGAGCAAATGGAAACAAATACATGCAATCTAAGTGCGTCACGGTCATGCGCAATGCGCACTGAACGCGCTGCCATTCAGAGTTTCAGTCAACCGTTGTCAGGCTGTTAGGCTGAAGGGGACAAAAAAAAGTGTCCGCAGGATTGGCAAAATAGCAAAACTTAAAGTGGAAATGGTCGTTTTTCCGGCATTTTTCTTTTAACTGGTCCTCTCCGCACATTGCTATTAAAAATGGTTTACAGGCAACCTGGGTAGGCTGATCGCGAATAGTTGACTAGATTAGCTCAACAATCGTCGACGTGACTAGCGTGCGTTCGACCAGAGATAGTCGAGCTATGGTTAACTATATGGTCCCTGAGCGAACTTGCCCTGTTATGTGCTTATGGTCCACGGTGCCTTACGCATAATCCACCATTTTGGTTCCAACAATTCAGGCACTCATGTCGCAATAATCACTATAAACCGCCCCTTAACTATCTGTTCTCTCGCCACCGACCGCCCTAATAAGTTACAGGGCGCTAGAGGCAAATGTATGATGCCAATTTCGTAGATACGCTCATGCGACTCTTCCACGTGTATACCAGGCAAGATATGGGACGGAGGGGTACCCCTTACCTGTCCAATCCCTAGACGCACACTAGACTATTGTTACCTAACACATCCCCCCCCGAAATCTGTAAAGAATTCCTGAGACCCCGATCAAACAACGACCAACACAAACGCAGGGGGGGTTCTCTCCGTCCCATATCTTGCTTCAAATGTCCACGTGCGTACGACACGTGTGCATTGCGATTAGAATAGCGAGTAACCCACAATACACAACACACCGCGCGTCAGCTGTGATGCATTGCCCTTACAAAGCTTACGAAATGCATTTGCCCTCCCAGCGCCCGAACGAAGCTAATACTGTGTTGATTTCTCGAATACAAGTTCTTTCGGATTCACTTCGCTTACCCAGGTCGTCGGAGTTGTCTGGGTGAAGGGCTGGCCAAGACGGAACTGTTCCTCTTCGCTACTAACCTCTTCCAGCGGTTCACATTTAAGCCACCGCCGGGGGCGTCTAAACCAGAACTGAAGGGAATCCTAAATCTCACCTTTGTTCCAGAGCCGTTTAAAGTACGTGCAGTTAAGCGTTAGATCTGCCAGATAAACGGCACCAACAGCGATTGTTTTGCTCCTTTTGAATGGCAGAATTGGACAGTCATACTGCCTTGTTAAAGTATTTGAATTCAGATGCACGTCTTATTAGTAAAATTGCGTGATCTTCATTTGCATGAGCATGCGTATAAAAGGGTGACGAGTGATCGCTGTCAATGACCCCATTTTGAAGTGTAATGTACCCAGTTTAAATGTATTCGGTTTAGTTTAGCTTTCTGACAACAAGGAAAGGTTTCTGAGGAATGATATGGCTGCATGGCTATCGGTGTTATTTTGTTCTTGAACTTGAATCTTCTCGACGTAGTTTAATTATTGTAATAGTTATAGCTAGTGTGCGATCAGTCACGCAGCCTGAATTTTAATTGTTTCCGACGCTTGTTCATAATTTTGTAAAGTTGCCGAGAAAACCTTTTTTTCGCGGAGCAAAACAGCACCCTACATCAGGTAACCTTTCATTTATAGGCATACAGTCACTGTATTATTACAAATTTTAATTTCATTAGATCTTCGGTATGAATTTTAGTCGGGAGGCATGCCAGCGACCTCTGGTTCTGCTTGCTTTAAATTTATTGGTTTAACTATGTAATAAATATTCATAACGTGATAGAATAAAGCATCCCCAGCTGTTCAAACTGCACATAGGAAAACGTGGACTTAATAATTCCGTTCCAGTTCACGAACTTGTCCGCCCTCGTATAAACCTTTCTTTTTTGCCAGCCATGATTAGAATAGCTATAACTGGCTCTAAGTCCACAGCGAAAGAATCATTCAAAAAGTGTTCAAAAATCATGAAAAATGAAAATATTACATCGTAAATAGTTGTGCTAAGTACTAAATGGAAATGTGTCCCAAGTTAATACTATTGACTCAAAATGAACGTTGAATAACTATGTGGAAAAAATGATAAATATCTAAAGCAAGTGCAGCAATACCTCTGAAAACAATTTATGGCATGTATGATATGTTTCATCATCATTTCTGCTAGTCCACAAAAATGAGACATCAAAAACAAAATCTCCGGCCTGACCCCCCCCATCCGTCCCTGTATCGATGGCACCTTTTCTTCTAGAGGAAGTTCACTCGAAACTCGGACAAAGGAACAGATGTTAAGAATGATGAACAGGGATGACGAACAGGCTTCATCCAACAGGCTGGATCGAGCACCCAGTGCCTTTGATGCTTTGACCTACTTAAGCAATGACGTTTCCTTTGGTGATGCATGAACGCAGTCCGCGGCAGTCGTAGACTTTGGACAAGTACTCAACAGCCGGCCCGAAGTAACCTGTTGACCAAAAACCGACCGAAAGTTAGATTGACGATTCTGCAGTACCGCCTGTGACGCCAACATTTCAAAGCAGGACTACCGTGCATCATCAACACACATATAGCATGCATAACTACCATGACACAATAAATCCCATTTCGATCACTGAATCCCGTTTTTCTGCCCATCGTGGCCGCAGCCTCCGAGGATTTTCAGTGCACTGTAAAAAGACTTTAAGATCGTGATATTTCCCAGGAAAACTAGTAGGAAAAACGATTTCATGGGATTTTCTAAAGAAAAAACTAAACAAAGCCAGAACACCTGAGAGAAAATGATCAAAACATTTCCAATGGCCCGTCCGCCAAATTTTGTGCGCATGCGTGCATAAATATGAATTCTTTTAGTGCAAAAAGTCTGTTGGACTTGACTCAAGTCGGAATTTTCCGATACGATTTCTGCGTTTACGCTTTTGCATACGGAGGTCGCGCGTCCTTACTTGCTCTTGCGTCCACTTATTACTGTGACGTGAGTTCAGAAATCCCAATTTGACGAATCTGCTAGCCGTCTGTACACAGTAAACAGCTCATCTGCCAGAACAGGTAGCAGCCAATCACATTGCTGGACTTGTTTTTACGTCGTTCGTACCTCTATTATAATGAACGAGTCTACAAGTCGGACGAGAGAAATATGGAAGGCCTGCGTAGCACTGTGATTAGAATATTGGCAAAACATATATCGTAATTTATCTTGTTGCCTAGCTTTCGGTAACTGAGTACCTTCTTTAGGGCAAGCGGAATAAGTTCTGAATGAACGCAGAAATATCCACGTTCATCCCCCCTGGATGCAGCGTTCCAAGTTAAAAAATGACGCGCTGCTCCAGTTCCTTACGCTGTACACCAGACTCGCTCTCAGCAGGATGCAGACGACCGGCCGAGAGTACGCGGCGGCAGTGGCGACAGTGAGACGGGTGTTTGTTAGCGTATACTGCGCAAGTGTTCTGCGAAGCAGTCAATGAGGCGAGACCTGGTCTCTCCGATGTAAAGTTCGCCCTGTTCGGGTGCTGGGCGACGAGGCGAATCTTTGACATCGACGCCAGACAGGATATCGCGGAAAAGTTATCGAATGAGGCCGCCTTACAAGAAGTCATGCGAACGGCCGGCCGGCGCCGTACGCGATGGCTGGCCGGCGAAGAGCAACGTAAGCCGACTTGATTCAAGTCTAGTGCCCGCGTACACTGTACAGTACATGTACTGTACATGTACATTCTACATGTATAGTACATGTACATTGTTCAGTGTACATGTACATGTACATTACATGCACACTCCAAAAATCAGGGTGACTTCAAAATCCTGCAGATTGAACATGGCTGATCAAGGCTCTGCCAGTTTGCTCAATCTCCAATCTGCCGCCATCTTCCTGTTGATTTTCGTCGTGGTCTTCAAGCTGTTCCGACGTCCAAAGAACCTTCCTCCGGGGCCCTGGCGATGGCCTTTCCTCGGGAACTTCGTGGCGCTGACTCGGTCTGGGAAACATCCCCACGAGGTGTTGGCGGAGTGGGCCCGGCGGTACGGCGGCGTCATGTCGGTCGGGGTGCCACCGTCGTCACGGTCTGCTGTCATCGTAGTGAGCGACCTTGACATCGCCAAGGAGTTGCAGTTGAAACAAGGAGATCACCCTATTGACAGGGCCACCTTGCCATTGATGGACACAATTTCAGACACTCGAGGTAGGCGTAGGAACGACAGCAGCATCTGAACCCGATTTTATCTTGTTCAGTGGAGGGTTAGGCATGGGCCTAAATACTGTCATGACCGTGTACATTGTAGCGAGTTGCGTCATGAGTGGTGTCATTGTTGGAAACAAATTGGCAGGTGTATGCGCCAGTATGCGCCCTCCATGATTGTACATATAATGAATAGCCCTTTTCGGAAAAAAAATGTGGCTTCCAGACTCCACTTTTCTCATTATATTTCATCTCAATAAAAATCAGCCATTACAGAAATGCTGGAAACACATGAATTGTGGACTGAGAAACATTTACCGATGTTGATGGGAAATACTTAGAAAATTCTCTTCACTCCCCATAGACTGTGTACACAACTGCTGAAGTGGAGTCAGGATGCAACATTTTGTCCCCATTTTCTTTCCAAATATGATGCTGGTGCTACTCTCCAAGGTCACTGTACTTCCATAACTGTAAGGATGCTACATCCCAACTATAGCGTGAGTCCCAACTATAGTTGGGACACTCCCAACTGTAGTGTTGCAGTTGGGCTGGCCCAACTATTGTTGACCAATGTCTGTGGGAAATGTCTCAACATTATCCAAGTCAATTTGTCTCACACTTGACACAATTCATCTAAAATGTTGCATTTTATCTGTTCATCTCGCCCTATGACTGATGACATGACATTTGTGAACAATATGACTTTGGCACATGCTGGGTACGTCGTGCACACAGGACCTCTCTGCTGTGGTTGGGCTGGGGGCTGGCCCAACTGTAGCACTCTAGTTGGGACGGGCCCAACTATAGTTGGGACTGGTGCTATAGTTGGGGTGAAACAAGGACATGAAGAAGTGCATATCAGAAATGGTGCTACTGCTAGGGCCTACTTTGGTTTCTATGCAATTTCTCTGCCGTTACAACTATTTTATTTATCCCCTAAGATTTCACAAGGTCTTTCGGGATACTGTTGATCGGGTGAAACAAGGACATGAAGAAGTGCGTATCAGAAATGGTGCTAGGGCCTACTTTGGTTTCTATGCAATTTCTCTGCCGTTACAACTATTTTATTTATCCCCTAAGATTTCACAAGGTCTTTCGGGATATGGTTGATCGGGTGAAACAAGGACATGAAGAAGTGGGTATCAGAAATGGTGCTAGGGCCTACTTTGGTTTCTATGCAATTTCTCTGCCGTTACAACTATTTTATTTATCCCCTAAGATTTCACAAGGTCTTTCGGGATGCGGTTGATATACATGTAGGATGGGGGGTTTATTTACATTGTTTTAAACCCATGAAAATGGTGAAATTTACGAGAATATTCCTCACCCACACCAGGTAACACGCACAACAGCTGCTCAATCGGTCATGTATATGTATGCAGGCCTATGTCAGTTGAAAGGTCATCGTTGTCAGCAGTATGACAGCTTTTACCAATAGCAACGTGGCTTTCATCTCTTTATTTTTAGTGTCCTTTTGTTTTCGATTGACAGATGAATTTTAATTGGTTGCATTGCATGTTGATGGTGTTGACCAACTAAAGTGCAGCTCAATCAATCAAGTGTCAATATTGGTTTTCCATTGGGTATACAGTGACTATTGAAATGAACACAGAAAGGGAACCTTGGCCTAGTGAACATATTTGGGTGTTGATGTGCATGATCTTGTGGCACGAAAAACCGCTTGTTGATAAAATTAAGGCCATTAATTTCAAGTTTTATCAAATGTTTGGGCCCTTAACATGATTAGTATCAGGCCACTTCAAAGATTAGCAAAGAGCCTTTAACGTGATTCATTGATTAATTATATTTTAATCTTGCAAAGAGGCTCTGAATGTGCACGTTACAGCTGACTGAAGTTGTTTTTTGAAACAGGGAGCTTTGTGTGGAGCAAGGGCGAGACCGCCAAAGAAGTGAGGCGTTTCGGCCTCGGCGCCTTTCGAAAAATGGGAGTCGGCAAGAAAAGTCTGGAGCACAGGATCAACGAAGAGGCTCGATACCTAGTGGAACGTATCGAGGCTGAAAAGAATCGGCCCTTTGATCCAAGCCACCCCATCCACAAGGCCGTGTCCAACATCATCTGCTCCATAAATTTTGGGTCCCGCTTCGATTACGACGACCCAAAATTCAAGAAGTTGCTTGGGAGTTTACAAGTTGTGTTTGAGAGCACAGGAGTTACATCATTGGGAAACTTGTGCCCCCTTCTCTACTACACCCCACTTTTTGCAAAATTGAGAGAATGCACCAAGTTTAACAGAGAATCTATCACAGCAATAGTTCAGGTACGCACTTGTCTCATGTCCACCTAACAACCGTTTCTTGTTTTTTGGGAGGTGGAGGGGAGCCAATATGGAGAATTTCCCGTAATCATGGCAGCCTTCCTGATGAGGGAGACTAAAGTTCAGGGCATTGTGGTTCTTTGAAGTTGTGCTGCGTCTAGGATTTGTTGGGGGAAGCTCAGCCTAGAAATTTCCCCAAAACAGCGCACACTGCCCATTTCCCCCCCCCCCCCCC